TCAGTGCTGACACCTCCTCCACTTGTGGGCACTGAAGAGGATACTAGAGCCCTGTCTGCCCAGCCTGCTTGGGTGTGGCTGTGTGGGACCAGGTGGCTGCAGATTTCCTAAGGGCCAAGTGTCTTTTAGTAAAAGTGTTGTTGTTTTTTATTTTTTGGTGGCACCAGGGATCAAACTCAGGACATTGCACTTGCCAGGCAAGCATTTATTCCACTGAGCTATCTCCTTGGCCCCTCCTCTTTCAGTAAAATTGTGACAATAATAAAGGCTATCAGAAGCCAAAGGAGGGCCAGCCTGGGGACTAGATGGGACTTAGGTTGGTTTGAACCAGGTTTTCATCAAACTACACACAGAGGCCCTGTCCCCGGGAGCCCTCTCATTCTTCACTGATTCATCCAAGCTCCTTGAGCTGTGTGCTTGTCCAGGGTCTAAGAATGAGCAGGATGCTGCGAAAGGCCCTGGGCTACCTGTATGAACAGGGAGAGCTCCCGGGCAGAGGGCTCAGGTAGACAACACAGCTGTGGGGGTCCTCTACCCCCGGGGAGGCTGGGGAGACTCAGGAGGTACTTACGGATGGGAAAAAAAGCAGATCTAGGCTGGTCCTGAGGAAAGGACCCTGGACAGAGAATCAGGAGAACCAGATGGCCCTGCTGCTACAGGCAGGGACCTCTGAGGTGGACACCGACAGCCAGAAGCCTCATATCCCACAGAAGGGGATGCCCGGGTGACAAAGCTCAAGTGTGGAGAGCCAAGGAGAGCGGCAAGTATGGGCACTTTAACTTGCCCTGAGAAGTGGATGCTAGCAGCTGGACATCCATCGGCAGGGGTTGCAGTGGTCAACTGGGCTTCTCAGAGCAGCCACAGCTACCTCCGGCATAGGGCCAAAGCCACCACGGTCAGGGTGGGAAGTGTACAGCCCATGAAGCACGGCCCTTGTGTAGCCAAGGCCATAGTGGGCAGACCCACCCACCCAATGTCATTTATTCACAATGGGAGGCCCCAGAACAAGAAGCCCTTGCACCTGGTTGAGAAGCCTGGCAGGGGCAGAATGGGGGGCCAGACTGGCCCACATTGGCCTCTACTGAGACTGGCAGTGAGACTTCCAGCAAGTTGCTAATAAGAAGCATGGGCATCTGCCACTGGGTCCCTCGGAACCACCAGCCCTCAGCACTCAGTGTTTCTGTTTGTCCATAACCAGTCTGAACATCACTCGGCCCTATGCCGCCGCCAGGCACAGCCTGCCACTAGAGGGCGCCATGAAGGAGCGCCCCGCTGGGGCGCTCCGGGGATTGGTTGCTTGCCTGCTGCCGCTTTCAGCAATCCAGGAACCGCCTGGAGCAGCTTCTTAAAGGTTCGCAGCAGCAGGTGGCATCCCACCAACTGTGGGCTCCAGCCTTGGTCCCCTTTCCGGGCCAGGGCCCGTAGTTTAACCTTTTCCCCTTCGTCCTGAGCCCGACTGGTGGCAGCCCCAAAGACGGGGTCTGGGTCGCTCAGTAATCCTTTTCCATTATTTTGGCGGAAAAGCCCAGAGATACACCCCACACCCAGTCCGGGATGCAGGCTCACCTTGACATGCATAGACTGGTTAGGAACATGTTCTCACCTCGAAGGTCAGAGCCAGCGCCCTAAACAAAGGACTGTCCCAGAGACCCCAGGCCACCTATTTCCGGGGTGAGTTTTCCGCAGACTTCTCGGTACTCCTGTGGGTTCAAGCTCCTCTTGTGAGTTCAAGTCCCTGCGACCCTCCTTTCTGCCCGCCCCCAACATAGAACTCCTTGACGGAGACAGCCCGTCCTCGCCTTACCCTGCAGCGCTGTCCCGTTCGTCCTCCCTGCGAGCGCTAAAGAACTTCTATTTGCCTACTGTTTACTACACACCCGCGCTCACCCAGGTAGGACACCCGGGAGGCCGAAGTTCGCTGCGTGTATGTTGGTCACCCGGAGCTGCTGGCGTGTAGCAGGTGCCCAACAAACACACGCAGATTGAGAAAAGTAAATGTCGCAAGCCCAATCTTCCGACTGCCACCTTCTGCACCGAAAGGGCCCGGCGTCTTCCTCTTAGGACATCTGCATCAAGACCAGGAGATAACATCGAACCTCTTCACTGAGGGACAGAGGGCTGCTCCCTAGAGCCTTATGCACGAGTAGGATTCTTCTTTGATCCCAACCGAGAGGATAGCCTAGAAAAAGTAGGTGCGGGCAGCAGAACCCTGGGGCGGGATTCAAGGGAGAGGAACTTTTTAGTTCAGTAGCAGTGGCCCGTTGTGCTGGATGAGCGGACTCTCGAGAGGGGATCGGGAACAGTGTGGAGGAGCGTGCTGGTGCATAAGGCAGGATCGGGCTCCTGCAGAGCGCCCTGAGCCTCCCTCGGGTGCCCCATCTGACCCCAGCTGTCCCAACCCCGCACTCTCCCCTCCCTCATCCAGTACACTGGCCCACTTACCACACCGATGGCCTCTGACCGCCTAGAGAGCAGCACGCTTCACGCTTCGCATCTGGTAGCATTGGCGACCCTGCTCGTTCCGGATACAACCCAGGGAAGATGTAGAAACACAGACCCCGGGTAGCTGGGGTTGAGGGCAGTTCCTGGAGGTCTCTATTTCCTCCGCAGTAAAACGGTGCTAACGAGGCCCCATTGGAGTGGGAGAGCAGTCCGAGTGCGCAGCCCGAAGCTGTGACGTTTCTCCGGAGTCCGAGACCAGCTCGCGGGAGGCTAGCGCACAACAGTTGTCCTGCCCTGCGTGCCCCTCTGGGCTCCTATTCCAGCAACCCGCCCTTTTCGCAGCTGTACAGGCTGCAGCTGCCGCCGAGGGTCGGCTAAATGGAGCGGAGAGGGGTCGGGAGAACCGCCCCTCCTACTCGGCCCCGCCCCTCGTTAGCTCCACCCCCAAACCCACTGCTCGGATGTCCCCTCTTCCCCAGAATCCGAATCTTAACCTCTCACGTCGTCGCCTCCTGGAAGCCCAAAAGGAACCAAATCCCACCTGGAAGGCCTCTCAGGATGCTGGTGACGTGTGTCTGCTCTGAAGAAGTGAGGAGCCCAGGAGACCAAGGGCGGGTCTCAGAGCCAGGAAGACCCGGTGCCACTGGCAATTCGGAGTGCGCTAAGGAGGTGCCTTCGGTGCTCTGGGCTTGGCTTTTCGAGGGCTGCTGATCGACGGCGACGCCATAGCGCCCAATCGGATCCCCAGAGGGCAGACCCGGGCCAACTAGCCAGAAGAATGAAATCCCGTGCAAGGGACCGTACCTCACAATAGCGGGGGACCCACGCACCACGCGGCGCCGGCGGGGCTCCACCGCGTGCGCCAACGCGAATTAGGGGCGACCACAAAATTCCTGCCCAGCTCCGGCCATAAATGGCTTTCCAAACCTCGACCACCCGTAGCCCTTGCCTTTCTACCTGCACAAAACGAAAACGCGCCCTGAACGGGAGCAGCGGGCGTGAACACTAGGTCCCTGCACAGAGTCCCTAAAGGTTATTTTCTTCTGTGACACCAAAATCCTGGAGGCGGGGTGAAAATGGAAAAGTCGTTATCAACAACCAGCTGCCCCCAGGCCCCCCAAAAGCCGACCTCGAGTACTTAGCATCCAAACCAGATCCCTCCCGGCCAGGGAACGGCCATCCCTTCGCACACTTTTGGGTCAAGGCTCCCTTTGCGCAGCGGGTAGTGGTATTAGCCACTCTCTATTACTAAATGAGTATGCGCCGCCACCCCAGAGAACAGCTACATCTCCTCGCAGCATCGGTTCAAAGCCTCAGAGTGCACTACAATCTCATTTTACCCCCAGAAGTTCTCCGGGGTGTGGGTTCTTTGTACCCTGTGGACTTTTTAGGGTCACGTGGACCCCACACACCGGCCTAAAGGCTACGCCATTACTTGCGGTGTTTCAGGAGCTCACTCTTGTTAGGGCCCTGCACGTGGTCCCCTAAGCGTCCTGGACCTGAAGGCCCAGAGAGCTCTGGGGTGTTTGTTCGCCCACCGCCAAGGCTGCGATTCGCGAAAAAACAGCCAGTGGGGGGGGGGGTGATGGAGGGGGAGTAGGGGTGCCTTGGTCTGAGTTGACGGTAACTTCTAGGGTAATTCCAAGAGGAGCCTGCGACCGTCTGGACTGCGATTTTCCAACAGGGCTCCCTGATCCATCGCTGCGTCTGCACCCGGCCGCGGGGAGCTGGGGAGCGCCGGGCTGGGTGAGCCATAGGAGGCAACGCGTGTGGTTCCTGCAACGCCTCGCAGCCACGCGGGCAGTTTATAGACGAGAGCAGAAGCCCATTCTTGAGGGCCAAGTCTTTCTAACCTCTAAGCCCGTGAACTCCTTTGCCCTTCGGCTGTCCCCCCAAGTGGTCGCGCAGCCACACACCATCCGGAGACAGAGAGGCCAAGAACCCGCGGAAGGCGGCGAGGCCCGTGGTCCCCGACAGCGCCCACTGACCTTGGGTGGCCGGTGGGGTAGGGCTCTTTCCCTAACCGGGCGCACTGAACATGCTGCTTGGATCTTCAAATCTACATTCTTTCGGGCTATAAAATATGTTCTCGTATTTTTTCCTGATTTCCCATTAAACCCTTTGCCTAACTAAACTCCCATCCAACGGGATTTATTTCGTCCCTGGGGAGATAAATCAGGGGGCAAATTTACAACCAGGGAGGCACCTGCCGCGCTAATGGGCCCTTCATGGAGTGCGCCGCCCGCGGGGCGCGCGCAGACGGGCGGGGCGCTGGCCAATGGCCGGGCCGCCGGTGCCCGCAGCCAATCAGTGCGCGCGCCGCGCCCGGGCCCCGCGGTTATCAGCGCTTCTGTCCCGCGCGGCGCCGCTCCGACCGGCCCCCGGGTAGTCTCTGCCGCCCGAAGCTTCGCG